ACGTATATAGTAGACATCTATGGTTACGTAATATGACTTGAATCACGTGATTCGCTTACCGCTAACGCGCGTTTATTAAATACTCTCGTGGGAATATTCTACTTTCGCGAGATTATAATATTCTTCTCTCGCGAATGAATTCTACTATTGCGAGATTATTCTCACTCAAATACGAGCCCACGCTACGCGCACACGGTGAATTTTCTTCGCGACTCTAGCAATATAAAACGTGTTTCAAATCTGAGCTATCTGCTCGCGAGTCGAAAATCTCGGATGCTCCCGAGTCTATGTGCATCAGGAGTAGATAATAGGAAATTCCTTATTATCTACTCCTGATGTGCAATTCTCTGGTATTTTGTAGGATATGTATAAAAAGGAGTAGAGATAGATTAATACGAAAACTAATCTACAATGAAATAGATATGTTCATTTAAAAAAAAAATATAAATAAACATGTTTTCAACTGTTGAGTAATGTATAATTAATACATTTAATATATTTTTCGCGCCCAGCAGCCATTCCATAATTTTGTGATAAAATTACAGAAGCGAAAAAATAACACAAGCGATGATGATTATAGTTTATTCAAACCAAATGCATTTAGAAGATAACGTATATGTGATTTATTTATTCTTGTTACAGGTAGGTACTAAATTAAATATTCATGATACAAGGTATGCGTACTAGGTTGATATAAATACTATATATAAATACTGTCCGATTATTCGATAGGAGAGCATAAACGACAAAACACAGCACTAGATTAATTCTGATAACGCCTTTAGAGCCGCCACAGGAAACGCACCGTTAGTTTCTAGATATCTTATCACCAGGGGGCCATTGCTAAAAACATCATAAATAGTTATGGCATTATTAGTGTAAAATGTCGTAACATTTTATGTGATGCTTGTGCTATGCCCCAATATTTCTTACGGTTTAATATGACTAAACATTAGACTAAAAGTGGGTGGTCTAAAACGATGAATGTAAACAGAATATTTATTAAGGAATTGGAACGGGTGGAGTCCACTCCAAGTTTGTCAGAAAATATGCCATCTCCTCGATAATTAATATATATTTGCTGTCAAAATATATTTCCTGGTGTCCACGCCATTATTACCTATATGAATTAGTCATTCTGGAAGAAGTAATTATGCTCCTTCCAAACCTTGTCATTATTCTGCACAAGAAATCTTTTAGGACGTTCCCCGCGTCCCGGTTGAGTTCTATTCCCAATTCACGAAAAAAATTATCTGGTAATTTCCGGTTGTACGATAATCAAAATGGTACAATCCCGCGTCCCGTTTGACGTTTATTTCCGAATTTCGAAAAATTCATCGTTCAGCGCCACTAATCTCCATATATTAACTAGTTATAGATAGTTATAGTGCGTGCGTGCATGCGTGTGCTCACGCGTGAGTATGTGCACATACGCCTCATCAGATAACCAGTGATGGGTGAACATCCAACTAGAATGTCCACAACTCATCCGTCCGACAAGAGAATGACTCTGTATATCTGCATCAGGGGTCTGTGATTATGCCGGCCCTTTCACATTTAATAGCCCATGTGCAGTATCCACGTTCCACAGCGCTCACAATCAGAGTCTATGTGTGTGTGTGTGTGTGTGTGTGTGTGTGTGTGTGTGTGTGTGTGTGTGTGTGTGTGTGTGTG